AAATACTTATGAATGGTATTACTGGAAGAGATTTTTCCCAGATCCTAGTGTTCTTAAGTGGATTAAGTCACCCTATCATTCTTCTCTTGTGAGTAGTTATTGAAACACCTTCCTCTGTAAAACCTCAGTCGTTTATGTACACCAGAGGATCCAGTGCTTGAAGAACTTAACTAGAAATATGTAGTCTGATGTGTTGTTGTAACCCATGCAACTTTCACCCTGAGGTATAGAAGTGGTTTCTCAGAATTATTAAAGCACATGTGTATGATTGCTACATAGCATTTATTTATAATACCTCAGTAATGACCCAGCCATCCTTTTCAAAACACCAAGACTTTAACTTTTCTTTTTCCTATCCTCTTTTTTATATAGCAAGGACCGCACAGCATATACTGCTGGAGCTGCTGGCCTGGCAGGTGGGCACCACCGGGAAGCATGGACCACCAAAGGTCCCTCTTATGAGGACTTATACACTCAGAATGTTGTCATTAACATGGATGACCAAGAAGATCTTCATCGAGCCTCACTAGAGGGGAAATCTGCCAAAGAGAGGCCCATTTGGTTGAGAGAGAGCACTGTCCAAGGGGCATATAGTTCTGAAGAGATGAAAGAAGGTAAGAGTAGAAGTAATCAGTAATCACATGTCTCTTGGGTTCAATGTAACTTGGTTTAATGGTAAACTGGGCAATTCTTAGTTTTATGGGTAATCCACTATACCTGTTGTATAAAATAAGTAATTGCATTATATCAGGAAGTAAGTGCAAAACCCAACCAGTGTACTCATACTATCCTTCAACTTAGTGGAAATAACAAATAGCTTTATAAATCTGTTTTTACATTTGAAACATTGCCATCCATCATCTTAATTTCTTAGGAAAGTGCTATTGTGTTCAAGGTAGCCATGTTTACCTCTCCTGCAATCTCTCATTGTCCTAATTTATATGTGTTTTTCTGACTTGGGAGTTAAAACTATGTACTGCTCCAAACTTTTTTAATGTTGTCTGTCACGAACATTAGCAAGGAGTTTGTGCTGCTCAAAATACATTCGTAGATAACCACATGTGTAAAGGATTAAACATTTCTCATAGTCCAAAAAGATTTAAGTTTTACTCCAAATTACTGGGTTCAAGACTTTGGGTTGTGTGATTTAGGAGTATGTAGAAAATGGGAGGCTAAGACTGGACACAGATTACTCAAACTGGGAAGTAGAGATGAATGGGAGTCTGCACCTCTTGTTAGATACTATCAGTATGTGAATTTACTACTGCTATTCCCTGGTTATGTATCATGGCTAACACGTCACCGGAATCTCTTGTTTTTTGACCTTTCCCCTGACTTATTTTCCTTCATAATGAGCATTTAGCACACTGTGTTGTTTGAAAGTAGTATGGAGGTGGGTAGTGATGGTCAAAGCGGACCTCTAGTGATTCTCTTAGATATTTAAATTTCAATAAGAAAAAAGTTTTCTTTGGCAATGGTACTTTAGTCTGTTTCCTCTCTGATCAGCGTACTATGTTTAGTTATTTTTTATTTAAATTGCTTTAGATTATACAGGGTGAACATCAAGTTCATGTTCAGTTTACTATGTTAAACTATTTTAAATTGCACATGCCCTTTAGGTCCACCCTGTATAGCAGTTAGGCTGTACAGCTATTTAATAGATTTGTTTTCTCCAACTTGATTTTTTTGCCTGCTTTTGAGGCAACCAAACATTTTTTTCTTTGAACTTAGAAACAAAATTGAATAAATCTTATTAACCAGCATTATATAAAATCAAGCTTAGAAATTTAACGTTCTGTGTTTGTAAGAATGATAGAATGTGAATCATATGGGCCTTAAATAAGTCATCCTGTCTAGTCAGTTAAGTTTTGTGAGTATTTCTTTTTACATAAAATGGGATAGTATGTTGTTTTCAGTTCATCTTTGAAAGTATTATGGTAGTAGAATAGCCTCTAGTGAGTGAAATTATGAAGTGAATCTTGTGCTATGCTTAATTTCCTCAAACTTCATCATGTTGTTATCTTTCAGAAATTTTTTGTGTGTGTGTGAAACAGTCTCAGTCTGACACCCAAAGTAAAGTGCGATGATGTCATCATAGCTCACAGAAACTTCAGTCTCTTGGGCACAAATGATTGATCTTCTTGCCTTAGACTCCCTAATAGCTGGGACTTCAGGCACCTGCCACAACACCCGACTAATTTTTCTATTTTTAGTAGAGTCAGGGTCTCACTGTTGCTCAGGCTGGTCTAAAATTCCAAGCAATACACTCTTCTTGGAGTCCCAGAGTACTAGGATTATAGGCATGAGCCACCACGCCTAGCCAATATATCTTTCAGAATTTTATAGATTTCAATCATATCTTATAATTACGCTGAAAGTTCTAATTTTTTTTGAATCTGCTTTTCTTATAAATAATCCTCTTTCCCACCTCTACCTACAGTTTTTGTTGATTTTGGTTATCTTTCTCTGGACCATTTCCAATTATAATGTACTTTTAGACCAATAACCGAACAATATGTGTTGTTCGTGCATAGATTCATCACTAATTATTTGAGTTTTGTTTCCTGTATCTTCTGGTTTTTACCTGACATTTTGTCACTTTGGTTGTGAATCATGTCAAGACCAATAATTTCAGAAACATATGCAGGTACTTCTTAGACTCCTCTTCTACCTTGAATCCAATAGGTTGAATCAATGTCTTTCAGCGTATTTTAGATTATTTTTCTGTAGGCAGATTTTCTTGCACTTGCCAGTATAAAACTAGATCTACTACCTTGCTGCTCATTTATACAACCTTCAGTTCTTAGTTTTTTGCTGCAGCTTGGCCTTTAAGCACTCTGAATTGCTTAGCACAGTGGTTCTCAACAGCCCTAATGCCATGGCCTTTTAATACAGTTCCCATGGGTCATGACCCACAGGTTGAGAACCGCTGGTAGCATAATCAGGGAACTTGATAGCTTCACAACATATGTTGTCTTTGTCATTTATAATGCTGTTAAATAAGACTTTTCATAGAACTAAGTTTTCACTTACCATCCAGAGAGTTGTTCATTTATCCTTGTTTTTTGTTTTCCACCTTCATCTATAACAGAATAATTCCTTATTTCTGTTAGAAATATGTTAAATGTGACTTAGTTTAGGACCCGATTTGCTTTCTCCTGTTTTTATATTTACTTTAAATATTACTCAAAACCCTATATTGGTAGTATTAAACTATTTAGAGTATTCTTTTAGAAGCAATTACTGCCGTAGAGACTTGTGTTCATTCCTTGCCTTTTTTGTTATTGTTGAAATTTTGCATTGGCAATAAGAGCTCTAGGGAGGAAGTTCAGCCTTTGGCAATGTTTTGAAGTATTTCAGTTTGATTTTAACTCTTGTTTTGATATCCATGTTACCAAAAGCCTCTTTTCTCTGACCTAAACTTTTAATTTGTTAATTCTAGTTTCCCTTTCTCTTATCTGCCAGTATCTTTTCTTAGGAGTTCTGTACTTTCCAAAATGTGCAGCAATTATAGCTAATCCATTCTAATGTGTTGATGAGAAAATGCTTTCACTTCATCCACAGTCAGAAATGAGCATTTTTTTGAGCCTTCTCTTGATGAGGTTAATGATAAATAACACTATTCCAGTCACTACGTAGACATGCCCTGAATCCTCACAGTAATTCAGTGGCATAAATACTGTTATGTTTTTTTCCCTTTCTATACTTGAGAAAAGTAAAGCAGAGAGAGAAGTAACTTGGCCAAAGTCACATAGCTACTAAGTGTTAGGGTTTAAAGTGAGGAATTAGGTCACAAGCAACATTTTTAATCCTTTTATGTATTTTAAATGGTGATGTGTTTGGTAGTATAACAGAATACTGAAGACAGCTGTTTTTCTGAAATATTTTCTCTGCACTGTATCACAGAGGATGTGTACACAAAATGATAGGTGTGTGGTGAAGTGAGAGAAGTTTCATTCCTAAATTTACATCTCTTCGTTATAAAGAGTTCAAAGTATGCTTAGTTTGCTTTAGGGACATAATTTATTTATTGAGTTAAAAATTAAGTGCTGCGGGGAAAATATAAAGCCATTGGGAATGAGGGATGGGGTGAATTCAGAGAAGGTGACAGTTGAGTAAAGACATGTAGGAGCTGTGTGGGTATGTACAGGGAAAATATTCCAGGCAGAGGGAACAGGCCATGTAAAGGGCATGAGGTAGGAGTCCACAGAGACCACTGTGGCTGGAGCAGAATAAGCAAGAAGAGGTCAGGAAGGGTTCCAGTTATGGGTAGGACCTTATAAGCCATAGGAAGGCCTTTGGCTTTTACTCTGAGCAAGATGAGGATCCATCTTTTGATTTGCTAATATGCCAGCTACCATACTTAGTCCTTTATAGGCATTATTTCATGTGTTCTTATCCAACGCCTTAGAACATAGATGCTTTTATCATCCCATTTTATAGAAAAAGATATTGAAGGTTAGAGATAACTTGCTCATGGTGCTCTAGCTTGCATGAACCAGGATTCAAATTCATGCTATATTAACTCCTAAGATCCACGTATTTGGTCTTTATGCTACTTAAGCTCCAGTTATAAGAAACATTTAAATATCTTATGTACAGCAGCTCAAGAAATGGAACTAGTGAAGTCTGTGTTATTTCATTATATTATTTAAATACTATTGGTTATAAAGGAATACCATTTATATTTAAGGATATTGACTTTCTGAGTTTTACTCCCCAGGTGGCATGGATATGGACGCATTTCAGGAGCGTGAGGAAGGCCGTGCAGGGCCTGATGATAATGAGGAGGTCATGCGAGCACTGCTTATTCACGAGAAGAAGACTCTCTCCGCTGTGACTGGTTCAGTGGGGGCGTCTGCTCCTGTGACCACCGCCAATGGCAGTGACTCAGAGAGTGAGACCAGTGAGTCAGATGATGATTCTCCACCCCGTCCTGCAGCTGCGGCTGTACATCGTCGAGAAGAGGATGAGGAGGAGGATGATGAGTTTGAAGAAGTAGCAGATGACCCTGTTGTCATGGTGGCTGGCCGTCCATTCTCCTACAGTGAAGTGAGTCAACGGCCAGAGCTGGTAGCCCAGATGACACCAGAAGAAAAGGAAGCATATATAGCCATGGGACAACGCATGTTTGAGGACCTCTTTGAGTGAGCTGTCTCTACCTTTCCTCCTTTCTCTAATGCTCACCTTTGAAAGAAAATGTTTTAGTGGCTTTCTGCTCCTGTTGATGTGAAGCAACTGTTAATTTTGTGCAAAGAATAATGGAGAAAAAGTTTGATTTTTATGTCAGATAGTTTTCAGCAAGGTAGGTTGGCTATAAGCATTCCCTTCCCTACTATTACTACAGTATTAATATTTTGCTGTATTTCTTTATCTAATTTTTTCCTTTGCTTTTGAAGACACATTTTTCTCTCTTCTGAAATGAGTGAGGGAAATCCATTAGTAAATTCTTCCTGTCTACCTACAAAATAGGTTATCTACCTACTCTGATAGGTTACAATAATTCACTGGTCACATCCTTTTTTATCTGTTCTGACTAAGCATTCCAAACAATTCCTTATATTGCTGCCAACCAAAGCAACTTTTCAACAGAAAAATTATTGATAAGGGGGAAAAATTCTAAAACTTCCCCCAAATTTTAGTATTTGCTTAAAATTGAGGTTGGGGTCAATATGTAAGGGGAGGTTGGAGTATATGTGAAAGAAGGATGGATATGCCTGAGTCTCTTGATTAATATTTGAACCAGAAGTTGTGTCTTTAAAACTGAATGAAGTGGTAGATTCTCTTGTTTTGCTTAATCCTTTTTGGTTTGAACTTAGGGTAATAGAAAACAGAAGGTACGCTTGGTAAATCTTATGAAAAAAAGAAAAAACATATACATGGAATAAGTCCATATAAGGGATTGAGAGCAGAGAGCATTGGAAACAGTGCCTTAGAACTAACTGAATTTGATCTGATTTGGATATTTTTGTGTGTAGAGCTGAGACTGATCCCATTTCCAACCCCCTTCTTCTATAGACCCTTTGTCAGTGCTATAAATTGTTTGAGGCCATTCCAGCAAAAACCAACATAGAATAATTGATTGCTATCTCTTGCCCTCCCCAACATTGTGGAAGGCTTTCTCTGTTTCACTTTTTATTCCTGTCAGACATGGTATTTTTGAGTGCATCCTGTATTTTTGAGTGCATCCTGTATATTTTTGAGTATTGTGACCTCAAGGAACAGTTTATTTTGGATTCTGATATGTAGCGTGGTATTATGCCCTAAGGCAGAACTTCAGAAATAAAGAACTTTCATACAAGGGTCTATTACAATTGTGATTTTTGTAATATTTTTTCTTACATTGTAATTTTATTTATCATTTCATATTATACATGTGAAGTTAAGATAGCATTTTAGAGTATCTGAGCCTTGTATGAAGTGATGTTTCATTTACCTGGGTTGTATTAATGACTGAATATTGACAATAAATCTATTTTATACTGACTGATATTTGTTACTTCCTATCTCTGTGTAACATCTTGGAACATATTATAATCAAAATGACTACTCTTCCCATTAAAAAAAAATTAAAGACTTTTTTATCTTATTAGTCATATTATTTCTAATAATAGATGCATCATGTGTGATCTAAATTTTTTCTGGCAATAAGTTGCCTTAAGAATGACCTTGATGTATTTACTACACATTGGTTATTAGAAGGTTAAGAAGTGATGCTATTCAACTTTAAAACATTATCTTTTAAGCTTTCATAGTTCTAGAAAAAAGTTAATTTAAATAGGTATTAATTTTAAAATGTACTTAATGTTTTTAAAACCGTATGTTCTTATCTGTGTATGTGGAATTTGTGTTATGTAAAAATGTTACAACTGAATACAGAAATATGAATAAGAGTATTCATTTCAGAAGTATTTGAAATAGAATAGAAAGATACACTAACTAAATGTGCATTAATCAGTGATTAAATTACTTTCTCTTGAAACTACAGAGCTATTACAGAGAATATAGTAAGGCCAGGCATGGTGGAGTGGCTCATACCTGTAATCCTTGTGCTCTGAGAAGCCGAGGTGGATGGATTGCTTGAGCTTAGGAGTTTGAAACCAGCCTAAGCAAGAATGAGATACTGTCTCTGCTAAAAATAGAA